CTAGCTCTACGATCGGGACATGCGCTGGAGATGTGACCCTGGCCATTGCAGCGGAAGCATAAACCCGCTCGCATACGTCGTGCTCGTTCCTCTTCGGACAATCTAACGTAGGCGGCTGATAAGTCCATGGCATTGGGGTCTGAGATTCCTGCACTCGTGCTTGGCGTATGGAAGGTTGGGTTGGTCGCGCCGTGTAATTTACTGTCTATCTTGATAGCTAAATTAGTGATTTGTTCAATTGACGTGAAATCCTCTTGCGTCATAACCATTGCCACTCTAATCTCCTTTTTCAAACCTTGCTCGTATTGACTAATGAGCGTCGGAGTTTCCCAGCCAGTAGAAGTTGCGTGAATGTTAAATTCATGGGTATACGCGGCCACGGTGGTCTTCTGCGATAAGTTTCGCAGCGCGCGTTCCGCCTTCGATTTCTTCTCAGTATCGAAATACATAGCTTTAAAATTTGTAACGAAGCGTTCAAAGGTTACGAGGTGGGCGGTAGCGGGGTCGAATAACTCCTTTGTCAAGGGTTGCGCCCAACTGCTGGCTGCTCCCGTGAGGTAAGACAGCGAGAAAACCACCTTACTTCGGTCGTCGGGGAAGAGGTAGGGGTGTGCCAGCATATAGAGCTGGACTTGACTCGCAAAGATCTCTGCGGGTTCGCCTCGAGCGCCGTTGAATTTATCGGGCGTCGAGACTTTGGGGCCCTTCAGGACCGGTTCAGCTGGTGGTGGCTGTGGCGCAGTGGGTGGTTGAGTGGCTGCAGCAGGTGCAGATGGGCCTCGGGATTCCAACGCCGCTAAACGAGCTTCGGACTGCTGGTATCTGGCTTCAGCTTGTCCTCGCATCAGGCGTTCTTCAGCCAATGAGGTGGAAAGCTCCGCAAGCTTGCGTTGTATGTCTTCGAGAGAGGTCATGTTGGTGTCAGACATATCGATCTCGCTACCGGTAAGGCTAGAATCGGCGTCGAGAAAAGGGATCGGAGTTTCACTATCAGAGTCCTCCTCCTCTAAAGGAGCACGGTAAGATGGAGACGTGGTTGCGTTTGCTAGTCCAGGGATCACAGTCGGGATCGACAGAGTTTTTTGTAAGTAAGATAAGGTTCTGGTGGATTCGGTTTCAGCGTATGCAGATTAGTTAATAAGGTTTTCGATTTCGAATAGTTTCTTGGGTCTTTTCAACTTTGAATTTCTGAGATCTAGATAAGGTTTTCTAATGAGGTCGAGATTCGCTAGTATTCTGAATCTTGAGGTTCGGTTTTCTTTCGATTTAAGTCAATTCTACTTGTTTCTTCTTGGTGATCTATCTATAGTCCTTGAGTCTCGTCTATAGATCCGACAATATGTTATGGACAGACTTGGGGGTTTTCGGCGACGAGGGTCAAGGGAGTTCTGGTGAGGATTTGTATCTATTACCAGTCTTCCTATGTGGATTGTCGGATGAGGGAAAATCTGTACAGGCAATGTATCTACAACTATAAGATGGTTCTCGAGCTTGTGACATGTAATGTGAATATGTCACTCAAGTGAAACAGAACCAGTTCATAACATACAATATGTAGGAAGTCCTAGGGAATGGGCATTGTCTTTGAGTAGCAGGCTGGCAGAAGTGTTTACCAAAAAACGGGCCTTTGGCCCTGAATGAATTACTCCCGAGAACTTCTTAAGTCTGAAAAAGATGAGAGTAGGACGGATACATGAGGGAGGTCTAGACTATCTACTTAAGACATTAGCTGTTACAAGGGTGCAGGAGGGCGGGATATAAAAAAAAAATTACAATTGATAAAAACAGTCTAATTTTTAGGGAGATGAGAAAGTAACAGAATTTCGAAGAAGGATACTGAATTACTGTAGACTGCTATACTTTTTTGATGGATAGTCAATTGAAGTGAAGTTGGATGGAAGAATGATAAAAAGGATTTGAAAAATATTTTTAATTCTCTTCAAGTACAAGTTCTCTCCTGGGCAAAAGACGCAAGTGAGGAAAATTTCTTTTTACAACTGGTTCTAAGATTTGACCGCAGTGGAACTTAGAAGGACATCCTCTTGGAAGTCTTCTTCGTCTATTGCGTTTTTGCTGAACTCTTCTGTCTTTCCCTGCTGAGACGACTCTTCGACTGCCCCCATTCCCTTCAGTCAACTCTGCGAGCCAACTCCCAAGGAATGGGCATTGTCTTTGAGTAGCAGGCTGGCAGAAGTGTTTACCGAAAAACGGGCCTTTGGCCCTGAATGAATTACTCCCGAGAACTTCTTAAGTCTGAAAAAGATGAGAGTAGGCCGGATACAACCGCCCTTGTAAAAGTTGAGAGCCGGTGATGGTATATGTAAGACATTGATGTGCAACGGAGTTGTAAGGTTGTAAGGCTCGTCCTTTTTCAATGCAGGGCACTGCCGAGGCGTTCTGTGAAAGACGCGAGTCAGCGACTAGATCAGAGCGTCCCACTGGAACACTGCTTACTAGTGTATGGAGAGTTGCGAGGCGAGCTTCCGGATGGGCGAAAATGCCCGGTTACCCCCTGTGAGGCACAGGGGCGTCAGCGTGGAACGTGCTTCCAACTTGAAAGTTGTGCGTACCTGGAATGCTGGCGTGAGATTCCTACGGAATCGTCGAGCACTCGGCGGGACCGAGGTGCTTGAAACGGTCGGGTCTTTGGAGGAGATGTTTCGTTAGCTTTAGCAGAGCGCCTCGTAGAGGCAGCTACTTACCAGGGCTAGTAGTGGCTTGCGCTGAACCCTGCCGTATCACGCTTGTCCTGCAATCTTTCAACAGAGACTGTTTAGAGGGGGAGGTAGCAATTTGAATTAGCGTCAGGTCTGGATGAGGAATCCGATGTTACTCACGGGAGCAAACCCTGGAAAGAGCAACTGCTCCCCCAAGGTTTCGCCGATTACAGGCATGTGCAGTTCGCGGACCCTCATGTTGAGAGCCGGATGGCAGCGGATATAGAGCTTGAAGGCATCCGAGGACCAGCGCCCTAGTGCTTGGATGGTTTCAAATGGCATTCCGGCTTGTGAGAGAGCTGTCGCCCCCCCAGCACGAAGAGAATGGCCGGAACGGGTGTTTTTGAAGATGGAGTTCATTCTTGAGATGAACCAGGATCGCGTGGGTAAGGATCCGTTGGCTCGTAAAAGCCATAGTAGGTGCGAGGGAAATCTTTTGTCTCGACTAATGGTGTATTTGAGAAGTGCTTTGATGGGGCAGATTACGCTGTCGGGACGGCTGATGATAACCACTGGGCTCCCCTTGAACAGAGGGTCCCCTTTGTGATATGGTAGGGTGTAGGCAGCGGCTTTGCCGCACGTTGAGATGGATAGGGAGGCACACCGGATGACTTTTCTGTCGTTACGGAGAGAGATTTGGTCCGGAATGACCAGTTCGCCAAGTCGGTGGAGGCCAAAGAATCCCAGTCCGAGGATTGTCTGGAAGAGCATGTCGTCGAAGGAGGAGTTGAAGGATTGATATGCCAGGTGCATGTCTATGAGCGTGAATGCTGGGGCTTGTTTGGTTGCTACCAAGAAGATTTTTTCGACACCGCGGATTGTCAATTTCACGTGTTCTGATGACCGTGCTGCATCGACGCCTGGGAATTCGGCGCGGTAGACAAAAGAGACACCCGTGAGGTATTTTTTCACCGTGCTGGGTTTGATGTCGCGTGAGAGGACAGTGATGAAGTGGGACAAATTTTCTTCGTTTGGGTTGAGTGGTCTATTGTGGTTGCTACAGAACTTTGCGAAGCACCGGGCGCCGCACTCGTACTTCTTTTTTGATGCAGGTTCTAGCCGATTGCTAACGTCCGAGGCGTTAAGGACTTCGCATTGATCGAAAGTGCGGAAGAGTTCTGTTTTGTTCGATTTTTTGGGCATTGAGCGAATGAGAAGAGAGAAAGAGTGATTTGGAATTGTTTGGACTCGATGAAAGGGGGAGGCATACGACTACCGCCTGAAACCACCCTCGAGGTGTTGCGGGATGGCAGGGAGGTTGATGTGAGAGGATTTTGGGAGTAGGATCCTCACGCCTTTCAGAGAGGTGCGCGACAGCGCGTCAGCTATTACGTTCCTATTGCCTGAGACGTGCCTGACTTTGATGTCGAGGTCGTGTTCGAGCATGGCCGTAACCACGTGTTTGAACAGCGGACGGATAGACTCGATGGCGTTGTGTGAGTTGAATCAAACTTAACCCGTCCCTCTCTCGCCTCGCAAAGCTCGCCCCCGAGAGAGGGACTTACGGCTAAAGTCGAATTCAAGCGGGAGACGTGACGGGGCATTTAGCCCAAACCAGTCTCGCATTATGAAACCCTTTTTCCTTCTTATCAATTCTCTTACTCCCAAAATGAAAAATGTGCGCTATTCACCCGCCGACTTCATCCAACTGGCCACATTTCTTTAAATGTGCTGGCTCCGGAGATATCATGACAAAAGCTTCGGGGGGCAAACTCGGGGCCCACACTCGTTACAGCTCTTGGATTTGCTGCGCGTCCGAAAGGCTGGGTTTCGGACGTACAGGCCAAACAACAGTTCTGCTTTGGATTATCCCCTCTTGTACTACAGGAGGGGATGTCCATTAGACGCGCCAAACAATGTTACCATTTGACGCGCATGAACAACAAAAAGGAAAGCGCTAATCGCGAACAAAGTGACATCTTGATGTTGGAAATACACCCTGGAAACCAAGAGAGCAGCAAAAAATTCACCAGAGCCATGAATAAAGTGAACGAAGCACGGAAATAAGACGAATGGCCTTTAAGAACACAGCGGCATGAGCGAGAACCCACATCACGCCAAGTCAAATGATGGGCAACTTACTTGACAACGTGTTTAACTTCAGGCAGGCGGATAAGGGAATGCCCCGAGGTCGTTGATGTGTAGCGCGTTAGCCTGAGGATCAGGCCATAAAAAAGATTGGATGAGTCTGCTGTAGCCGATGCAAATAACAAAGACTCAAGCTTTCACTTACCTCCGCTTGAATCAGTTCATGCCAAATGTATTCTTCATTACCGGCGTTGCATGTGAGGTTCCGAAAAGCCATCAAAACCCGGCGCAATAACGAACGGGCGTACGTCCCAGTGCCACGGAATGACCGTCGATGAGCCCAGAGGTTAGGGTCCTCCAGCAGGACGAGAAGGAAATCATACACGGTCATATGTTGACTTTGAATGAACCGGATGATATTGAAACATCTGGCGACCAGGGTGTTGGGATTCGGAGGGGGCCGGTGTGAGTAAATGGTGCTCGTGTTTGGCCTGACCTCAGTAACAAACTCTTGCAGTGTCATTCCTTCCGCGATGATAGCGTCAGTGATGTGGGCAATACTTTCTTCCCGCACATCATCACTGTCAGGCACGACGGTGGATTCTGGAGTAGAAGGTGTCATTGCCAGGGTAATTGGATGGGGCATCCTTGAAGAGCATATAGAGATGCCACCTTTTGAGGGTGGAAGTCATCCCCTCCGTCACGGAGATGTTCGGAAAGAGCCCACCCAGGTTGGACATTGTCATCCCAAAGGGTCTCTTGACACAAGTCAAGACAACTTTGGTGGTTCATCGGATTCGTTATAAACGAGTTGATGGTCTGACAAACCCTGGCGTCAGGGTGCCCTGCCAGGAATGAAACCTGGTTCCCAGGCCATATCAACCTCTTCTGGTCCGTAAGCGTCACTCACGTTGAGTGACCTTTCCGCTTTGGTTCCTTGCGGAAGATCGGACGTGAAAATTTTGGGGGCGGGGAGTTCACCACTTGGGTATTTCCGGGATTGCGAAGTGTTCTGTCTTTCTATGCATTGACTATAACCCGACGTTCTCATTTGATTCTCATCAGCCATTGTTATTTCATTTTGGCGGATTTGATAACATGTCACAAGTTACTCCGGACAGGCCTAGCAATACCCCCACGACTCTCAGTAGCACGTTGAAGATATTACAATTTATGAGCACGTTAGACTTTACACCCAAAGACTTCATGTACACGTTCTTTTCTTCCACTGACGAGAGGGTTGTATATCGCCAACGCCTGATGAAAACCGGGAAGGGAGAAAAGCAAAACAAATCGATTTTGAAAAATTTTGGAAATCTAATAAAGTCATCCGCCGAAGGACGCGAGTTCTGGGAGGGCTTTATATTGAAAGAGGTGTGTCGTGTCAATATGGGCTGTGTTTTATCTTGACTAAATCAAATTGTCAAAATCCTTTTCAGGCTTCCGAGATTGTAAATGCCCAAGAGGTCAGACGTGGATCTTACCCTGACGGCGCATACGTCAGCTCAAATCACATACCGATAGATTTTTTCAGCGAAGCTTCAGAGCACAGACGTACTGAACAAATCAAGAATGGGATGCCTTTCTTGCACACCTTGATATTGCAGAAGATACTCAATGGTTTAAAGACCACCGACTCGAAACCTGATAGTCGGATGAAGACACCCACCAAATCACCTGCTTCCAAGGCACCAGACGCGCCGGCCACCGGGAACGGGATTGGCAAACCTGCATCTGAAGAAGAAGTGTTGTCATTAGCCAACTTGGTGTATGTCAAGTCTAGCGCCTCTGAGTTCGCAAATCATAAAGCCGAAGTGGTGAGTGCAAGAGTGTGTGGGGGCGTTGAAACCATTATTGACTCATACGTTTAATGGTCCAGCTGCCGGTAGCCATATGTGCAATGATTGCCTATACATGTAATCGCCGTTGCAACGCTGTGCCCCTCCAGAACGGCCTGATGGTGTTGGCCGGGGGAGTTTCTTGTCGTGTTAATGAATACCTCCAATGTTTCGGTTTAACTTGTTCGAGAGACGCGGTTCTGGACGCGATGGAACACCTACGTATCTCACAAGAGAAGATCAGCTGATGCAAGTGTTCAAGGCCAATCATAAACTTTTACCTTTGTTGTGTTTTGATAACATCGACATTCACCTGCGCATTCATAACTCTCGAATCGACTTGGCTTCGCGGCTGTTCCACGGAACATGGGGATTCTATATTGTGTTCCGAGCCGCCCTTTTAGCTACATGTGAAGCCGAAGCAGTCTCTCTCGCCACCTTCGTCGCCGCTATGAAATCTGCAGACCAAAAGGCGGTAGAAATTGATTCTTTCGCCCCCCGCCCAGAAGAAACCGTCCATTTTCGTGCGGTAATCAAAGCGCAAATAGCTAGTGCGCTATGTGACCATGTCAAACATCTTCCTAACGCGCCATCCCCTGAAAAACTCCCCCCCCTAGCATTACGACCTCCTAAAATTGATCTTATTCAGTACCACACTCCCAACATCCACTTCCTGCGGATGATGGACGCACCTGATTCCTCCGCCGAAGGGGTGTCACGTGTGCTTGATCAGGTAATGGCCCAAATAGGCAAGGACAAATCCGACTACGCAAATCACCTCTTGATCGCGGGTGGCGACGTTGGGTCAAACCAACTGGTGGAAAGCCTCTGCGGGAAGCTACACCCTCCTATTGATGATGTCGAAGGATTAACATGGGTATTGTTGGTGTTTGGTGCTGCCCATACCACCTGGAACTTCGCGAAGGCCATTTGGTCTCTGCACTGGGGCAACTCCAGCGACCGAGAGGATTCGGGCGCATGGCGCTCTTCGTTTGAGCTCGGAGGCGACTATTCAAAGCCACCTGCTTTGCAGGATTTCAACTCAATTATGAGAATGATCCAAATGGTTCATAAAGCTAACCTTGTTTATGTCATTAGGTGAGGACAGACACGTTAGTCACGGGCTGGTTCTTTTGCTGATGTCTAAAAACTTACGTGCACAGCAAAACCTTGCTGTTGATGGCAGACATCGATCTCACCAAGGAGGACCATTGTAAGCGCGTGATCGATGCGGTCTGGTTGCGCTACTTTTCATCCTCCGCCCTGCAAGAAGCGAAAGCATCAGCTCATTCCACTAAGCACAACCTCATGTGCCGATTACGTGACTTTAGTACGGTGGTAGAGGCTCACAATGCTACCCGCGCGGGGGATATAGGCCGCCTGATCGCCATGTGGAAGCAATGGGCTGTCATGGCCCAAGGGCTATCGGAGCTGTCCCATTACGCTCGTCATATTCCCAGAATGGTGTTACTTTTGGAACATGACTTACCTCCAAAGCTTTCCCACGTGCTGAAACACTCAATCCTAGTGCCCTCGCTGGAGAGAGATGGCCATTGGATGCCCATCGATGAGTACCTCGAGGTCCACATCTTCTGGCTTAAAGAAGTGTATAATAACACCGTAAGTCATGTGGGCAGTCGTTTCTACTTTGGGACCAAGTGGTTAACAAACCACTTTGTATCGTTTGCACCGCGAGCTCAACATATTGATTACTGTCAACAGGGCCATGGAACGGATATTGAGCGCCTGACTTACAGGTACTCCAACAATATTCCATTGGTACAATCACAATTTGACAATTTCACAGAAGGATCTTTGCATTACTCATCACATGTGACTGTTTTGATTCCAGTTGCGTAGGCTAATACAACTGATCAAGGCTTCCGCTGGCCACAAGATCGTTTTTCAACCCAACGCCAACAAAATCACTGAAGCCTCAATGGCCAACTTCCTCCGCTACGCCCACGATAACTTGAGCAAAACCCAAACGGGTCGCGAGGTGACCCTAGTGAAGAATGTGTTTGCTACCGGTCTGGTTAACATGGTCAATATCATTCAATCTGAAAGAGGCGAGGGTCAATCATCTTGTTTCCGCTGGGGTTCGTCTTGTGGATACGACGCCAACGAGGATTAAGGAGAATTCCCAGGTGAAGAATAGCAATGGGACGTCAAAAAGGTGCGCCAGGAGGCTAAACGTGGTACAATGTGCTACGAACCTGAGTGCAACCACGTTTGACATTGGGCAACACATTCGCCGCAGTACTAGCTCTCTTTCGCGGGGGTGCCTGGTTCCAATTACGTTGTTCAGATTCCAGCGCCTTGCCCTGAACCTGGCCACGCAATCTCTCTTCACGGGCCCTCTTTCTCTCCTCGGCCATTCTGGTCCATTCTTGAGCTTGTTCTGCGATTCGGCGCTTCTTTGCTGTAGCCATTTGAGTTTTTTGACGCTCTTGTTCGGCCTTCGAAGCCACCTAGATTTCATTTGTCATCAAGCTCAGGGTCATGAAAATCTAAGCGTGTGGTTGGCCATCTCCCCGACTCACTTTCGCGTCCTTTACCACTTGTTTTGCCAGAGTTTCTCTCCTCTTTGCCAACTCCAAACCCTCCACTGAGACAGGGCCCTTTGACGGGCCTACGCGCCTGATCGCGCGACGAAATTGTACAGCGTCCGATAGTGCGACCGCCGAGTCACTTGCGCCGTCGTCCTTCCAATCAAGAAATGTTTGTAACAGTGCATCATATTGACCTTCAATGATTTCGCTACCCAAAACGAGACTGAGATCGCTAGGCACTCGAAATTGGTCTATATTCTTGGCCAAATCCCACGCGAGTTCTGATGGGAAGTAGTCGCATGGACCTATGTCGCTATCTTGCGAGTAATGAGTGTAGAATAAGTTTTTGAAAGCAGCAATCCACCTGGTCACCAGTGCCTCGACTGAAAGGCTCTTGCGAATTGGATTGTCTGGGGTGGCGCGAAGGGGATCCACGCGCTGGGGTAGTCCAGGACCAGGCGGGACGCTAGGTCTCATGTCTACCAGATCCATGAGTTCCTTCTCGCACGCTTTCATGGCGTCATCGAAGTTCCCAACCGTAAGAGCTTTCTGCGCTACCCATAGCGCTTCCGCTTTGTCGGGCAGGCAGTTACTGCAGTCACAGGGGGGCATCCCTTGAGCAACCTGACGGGCCTCCTCCTCTTGCACGACAAAAGAATCAGGGGCCAACGGGATGTAGCCGTGCCTATTCAAAAAAAACATATCAACACATGCAACTTAGGAATACAGCGAGACAAAATGCTGACGCCAGATCCAAAGCAAGGGCGACGCGAAGGCAGACCGGGGTAATAGCCAGCGCATCCATTCTATCGTCGTCACTCATCGAGGTGGGTGTATGAAAGTCCTGCACTCGATTTTTACCGTTGGTCCTAATGTTTTCTACAAGGAGAATGCCCAAACCGCGACGACCGTCCCGGCCACAACGGCCGGCCATTTGGATGAAGTTGCAAGGGTCGTGGCGGCCCACAACGATCACCCTTTGCACTCGATGCCAATTCTGCCCCAGGCCCAGGGCCAAAGTGCAGCACAGGACGGCAAGGCTGCCGCCCACATATGCTTCTACAGCAGCCAATTTCGCTCTGGCACCAGTTGTGGCGTGATATTGCCGCGCAAAAGTCGATTCGCCGTTGTTTGATTCAGCGGGCTGGCCTCGAGCCGAATTGATTATTCGTAGGTGATCTAGAGTAGCATTCTGAGTCCCAGCGTAGATTAGGGTGGGAGGTACCTCTTCGGTTGATACCAACGAGTGATGACTCATTAGGCCAGTCAAAGCGGATTTCAAGGGCCGTTTGAATGTGCGTCGAATCAGGCGCAGTTCGGGCCTCGTAAGTTCAGCTCTGGCGAATTGGATGTCTTGTGGGTCAATCTTGAGGTTAATGAGTATTGCTTGAATCGCCTGAGGGATGCACGTGGCCGACATCAGCAGGAGCGGAACCTTGTCTGTTGCCAGGAACCGTCGAGCGAGGTTGCCATAGTGGGGGCGGAAAGCACCGGTATCCTGAATGCGGGCAAAGCTTGAAAGCTTTTTGGCTTGGCCACTTTTCACCAAGCCCCACATGTAAATCATGTGGGCTTCGTCCACAACCTTGAGAATGAGCCTTGTTTGAAATCTTCGGTCCAGGAACATCTTTGAAAAAACGCTGTTCGTCAAGGCAACTTTGGGGCTCTGCCAAACAATATGTCGAGGAAGGACCTGTCAGCACCCCTTCCTTCATAAGTTGACAAGGCCTGAACCAAGCTGACCACGTAAACGAAATTGTATTTGCCTCTCAACACAGCCTTGCACGTGTCTGGTGTGCAGTTTGTTCCAGTCATATTAACCGCTTTGAGGTTGACCTTATTTTTTTCCAAAACCTAAGTGGTAATTTGGCGTCAGCTAAGTCGCTGGATGGCAGCAAACACTGTGAGAGTTACATTGCACCTGATCATCGCCAAGTGAATCCAACGGGTTCAGGCTTAATATGATGGGGGAATTGGCATCCTCATCCTCGTACATGTGAAACATCATTTTGGGATCCGG